CGCTTTTGACAAACACGTTCAAGTTCACTCAATTTCTGCTGACATTTAAAAGGATTTTTTCCAGCTGTTATTGTATCGAAGTAAACATACCCCCCACACACACACACAAACACATGCACACACACACACACACACACACACACACACACTCACACACTGACACACCCACACACTACACACAGACTCTCTCTTTCACCTACTCTCACTCCCTCTCTCTCTCACCCATCCACTCCCACCCCACGCACGCACACGCACACACACACACATACACACACACTCTGACACATAGACATAGTTATTCCTCCTGTTTTCTCAGGTATGCTCCAAGTGACGCCTCTTGACCTACTCCCTAACGACAAGAACTCGACATGCGTGAAGGACGGTCCCGGAGACTACTGCTTCCTTGCAGGTACTGCCACCCTTGAGATCTTTTTGTAATTTTGATCGCTTGAGTTTAGAGAAACACGTCGATTCAGTAATGGTCATTGTGAGCAAGGAAAAAGCCATTGAAACAAATAGAAACAATATAGGGAAAGAAAAGCTGGAGCCCAACAACCATTCGCCCTTTACACTACCTTTCGGATTGCCTGAGTTATAATAACTTTGTATTAACTTCTATGTGCAATGCGAAATGTTAAAACGGTGAAGTTGGTTAAAAATTCTCTTGTCTATGTAGATCTTCCAATTCCTTGACGAAACTATCAAGAGCTGCTATGAACATTCTTTTGTTTAAACAATTATTAGGAGTCCGAAGTTAGCTCTCCAACGTACAGTACTTTCTTCAAAGAGGAATCATATCCGGGTCATCAGAACTGAAGAAAATTAGTATCATTTACACAATTTATATCCTCCGTTAACGTGTTCAGGATGGGGGAAAGGAGTCGGCACGTGTGATTACGTGTATATCACGTGTTAAGTATTACAACATCTTAGTTTTTAGAATTTGGTCAAGAATAACTTACTTACAGAACTGGAACAGATGGGCGACGAGAAAAGACTCGGATAATTTATGTTCTTTTAAACGCCCTTGGGCCTATTTAAATATCTACCATTTGGTGAAAAACACAAAACAAAACAAAACAAGAAAAAAATATAAACATCTCCCGCGTTTTCTTGGCTTATTCATAATATCCACTTGTTTTTCGCCACTTAATCCAATAATTTCCCCATTTTAATTTTAGTATTGTTTTGAATTTCAGTCAAGTTATCTGTTACCTTTTACCTTTAACCCTTCCAAATGTCTCCCACCCACAGGGGAAATGCGCGTGAACGAGCATCCGTCTCTGTCTACCCTTCACACCATCTTCCACAGACTGCACAATCAGATGGCGCTCGGCCTGTTCGAGTTGAACCCTAATTGGTCGGACGAAAAGGTCTCCATGTCGCACGTGATAACGTTCGTCCTTTTGCTACCCTAGAATTACGAAGTTCTATCTGACATTTTTGGCCGTTTTGAGTTACTAAGATCTAAAATTAGGAAACCATTATGTTCTATCTACTCTATTAGGGATCTTCAGATTCTTCGGAGTCGTTATCTAGATATTCAAAGAATTGCATTCGAAAAAGCTTAAACATGCACTGAAACAGGAAAAACAATTATATCAAATTTTTGAAAACTAGGCACTGAGCAGATAGAAGTTTGTAATTCTGAGGTAGCACTTTGTGTCACTGTGCATTAATTTCTTCCCTTTTGTCCATGTTTCTGTGGGTTTTTGCCGTTCTACAGGTCTTTAGTTTAGCGGTTTTATTGTGCTATTTGCGTCTCTGCTGTAGTGATTAGACAGTAAGGGTTCGCAGGAAAGTCAGATGAGCTCAATATCATTGTGTGCAGATATGGAAGCGTGCTTGTGTCTTTATGGACAAGGTGTGTGTGTGTGTGTGTGTGTGTGTGTGTGTGTGTGTGTGTGTGTA